GAGCCCCGCGTCAGGCTCTGGGCTGATGGCTCAGAGCCTGGAGCCTGTTTCCGATTCTGTGTCTCCCTCTCTCTCTGCCCCTCCCCCGTTCATGCTCTGTCTCTCTCTGTCCCAAAAATAATAAATAAACGTTAAAAAAAAAATTAGAAAGAGAATCCAAGAAGGAAGTATATGGTGGCAACTCAGAGCCCTCTGGGGCCGTGATCACATAAGCAAACTCCCTAATGAATAAGGAAAATAGAAAAAGGAAAAAAAATAAAGAAGGAGACACAGAAATCATAATAGGTTAATAGCTACCTCTGGTGTTTACAAAATCTATAGATCTATATTTCCATGCAGTTGTGGCTTGCTCTCTGTATTTACCTTCAAGAAAATATGCCAAAATGCTATCAGTGGTTATGGTAGGTAGTGGCTGGTAGGATTTTCAATGGTTTTAATGTGTAAAAATTCCTTAGTAAACGTGTTTTATTAATAGAGTAAACAATACTATTTCGTAAAACGATGCACATAGATATGTTTTAGTATAGGCGACTGAAAACTTTTAAGATGTTCGAGAGAGTAATATATAGAAAACAAGCTATCATTTGTGATTTTCAGCACAGGGCAAGGACGAAATTCTGTTTCCCCTGAAGGATGGCAAATTAATATCCCCCAGCCTATTTATACAGTTAGTAACGAGCAACATGAGCGTATAATGTGAAGTATCAGCTCCATCATTGTTTCACACAATTTGGGCAGAGGATGTGGTTCTCCAAGTAGACCATGTGACGTGTCATTTTCATTGTGACGTTTTTATTGACCCTTAGCTGTGTAACTTCACATGCTATCTGACAAAAGAAGTGGAGATTGACACTCAGCTCTGGCTCTTTTGGGGACCCCTGGCAGGGAGGAAGCTAGAAGGTGAACATCCCTCTTCTTGAAGTGTCCAGAACTTCTCCTGATGATCTGCTCCAAAACTACCACCTGGGACAGGTCACCATCGTAGTGATAGAGACACATGAATCAGTAAGACACTGTAACACACAACGGAACTGTGAACAGTCTGAGGACCCAGTTCTTCGCTCCTCCTTGAAGCCTGGTTTCGATGACGGCTCAGGTCTTCTGACGTGCTCCCTTCCTTTTCAGCTTCATCTCCATACGAGCCGTCCCCCAGCTTGGAGCCATGTTGAGTTCTCTGAACTGTAAATCCGACCACGAGGCTCCCATGGGGAATGGCTCTCCATTGCTCCCAGGACGAAGTCCCCACCACAAGGCACCATGCAAAAGGTTTTCCCAGTAGAAGCTTCTCCAAAGAAGATATACATGTGGTTGATCTAAATGGGTAACAAGGCCATCCAAAGATGGTCAACATCATTAGTCACTGGGGGGGTGAAAATCAAAGCCACTGTGCAATGCCCCTCTCATTACATGTCCTCATTACGTTACACACAGAATATCACATGTCCAGCAATTCCACTCTTAGGCATATACTCAAAAGAATCGAAGACAGGTGTTCCAACAACAGCTTGCATAGAATTGCTCATGGCAGCAGTCCTCATCATGGTCAGAGGGAGGGAACAGTGCAAATGACTCTCGACGACGAGGTCAGCTGTTCGCTTACAGTGGAATATCATTCAGCTGTAAGAAAAAAAACACAGTGCGGGGTGCCTGGGTGGCTCAGTTGGTTAAACATCCAACTTCGGCTCAAGTCATGATCTCACAGTCAGTGAGTTCGAGCCCCGCGTCGGGCTCTGGGCTGATGGCTCAGAGCCTGGAGCCTGCTTCGGATTCTGTGTCTCCCTCTCTCTCTGCCCCTCCCCTGTTTGCACTCTGTCTCTCTGTCTCTCTCTCAAAAACAAATAAACATTACAAAATAAACCAAACAAACAAACACAGTACTTCGTATGCTTCAGTGTGGACAAGGCTTGAATATTTTTTAAAATATTTATTTATTTTGTGTGAGAGAGAGAGAGTCAATGAGAGAGATTTAGAGTGTGAGTGGGGAGAGGGACAGAGAGAGAGAGAGAGAGAATGACGAAATCCCAAGCAGGCTCCGTACTGTCAGTGCAGAGCCCAACGTGGGGCTCAATCCCATGAACTGTGAGATCGTGACCTGAGCCAAGATCAAGAGTCAGACACTTAACCGAATGAGCCACCCAGGAGCCCCCAGGCTTAGAAAATGTTATTCCAGGGGAAAGAAGCCAGGAGTAAAAGGCCACCTGTTGGGTGATTCCACTGAAACGGAATATCCAGAAAAGGCGAATCATAGAAACAGAAAAGAAATGAGTGGTTGCCAGAGGCAGGGGTGGGGAGAGGAGGGGATGTAAGGAGTGATTGCTTAATACAGGCCAGGAATGTGGGGGTGAAGGCTGTTTTGGAAATAGATGATGGCGATGGTTGTACAACTGAATTGGACACTATTGAATTATTAAAATGGTAATTTTTATGCCATGGGTTCATTTACGTAATAACAAGAAAATGTTCTAGAGGCTTTCTGTATCTGAGTGTAGCTTTACTTCTTCTGATTCTTCTGCCCGAGGCCTGTCCCCCGTGAGCAGGCCAGGCCTCTCACTCATACTTCACAGACTAGACACGCTGGCCTCGTGTCGTCGTTTCCATGTTCACATGACTCCCCGTGCTTCAAAGCGTGAGCCCTGCCGCTTTCCTCTCTGCCTAGTTCTTGCTGGAGAACGCACTCGTGTTTCAGGGCAGAACTCTTATCGCCACCTCACGAAACCTTGCCCCAAACACTCAAAGTAGACTTGTGCACCCACTTACCCCTGTGGACATTTCTAGCAAATCTCTGTGATAGTGTCGCGGTTACTATGGCTGTGTAACAAATGGCCCCACGGCTTAGCGGCTGAAAAGAGTGGCAGCACTGGGGAGCCTGGGTGGCTCAGTTGGTTAAGCGTCTGAACTTCTGGCTTTGGCTCAGGTCATGATCCCACGGTTTGTAGGATCGAGCCCCACATTGGTCCCTGAGCTGACAGCGCAGAGCCTGCTTGGGGTTCTTTCTCTCTCTCTGCCCCTTTCCTGTGTGCTCCCTATCTCTTTCTCAAAATAAATAAAAATAAACTTTTGAAAAAAAAAACAAAACAATGACAGCATTCACTTTATTTGCGCATCTGCAATTTGGGCAGGACTTGTTAGGAACAAATCCTCTCTGTTCCATGAAGCCCCAGACAGGACGACTTGGAGGCTGGGCTCATTGAAACGTTCACCACTCACAAGTCTGGTGACTAATGTGACCCCTGGCCACAATCTCAGCCGGGTGTCAGCATGGGTCAAGCTGTATCTCCTGAACGTTCACATAACATGGCCGGTGGGTTTCCAGGGCAGGGCCTTGAGCTAGAGAGAAGTAGGCAAAGGGTTTTATTGTCCTTATGCCCTTGTGTCATGAGTCACACGGTGTCACTTCTGTCACATTCTCTTAGAAGCGTGTCACTAACACCAACTTAATGGGAGGTGAATTAGACTCCACGTTTTTTGAACAGAGTGTCCAAGAACTTGGGAGCATATGTTACAGTCATCGTGAATATTCCTCTATGCGGAGAGTACCCACCCTAGACCCCCATGGCGTTCCTTACTTCCCCTATAATATTCTTTCTTAGGTCTCATTTTGTGTCTTCTCTTTGCTAGCTTGTTAGCTGCATGAGACGGTATCAGTTTTGTTCAGTGTCATGTTCTCAGTACACAGCACTCTGCCTAAATATTTATTGCAAGAATAAATAATATTTCATTGCTCTCATTAGTTTGCTAGATTTTTCTCAAACTACTACTGCCTAAAGGCAGCAGTTGTGTCTTACACGGCATCATCATCCCTGCACTAGGCCCTGGGGTGTCTGACCCAGAGCAGAAACCATAGTTATTTGTGAAAGGAATCAATCAACGCATCGACTGATTGATGAAGGCATTTGTTTGCTGGGGATGTGTGTGTATTTGCACATGTAGGGGTTTTCAAGAGACTTTTTCATGTGTCTGCTCACCTCGGTGAAAATGGACAATTATTTTTCTTACAACTTTACATTCAGGGCTAAGAAGCTAGGAAAGAACTCAAAACAAACAAACAAATAAACAAACAAACAAACAAACACACCAACCAGTAAGCATTCAGCATATTCATTACATTTACTAATAAATAAATTAATGAATGACTTTGTAGTTTGTTCTTCTTTTAAAAATGTTTATTTTGAGAAAGAGAGAGAGCATGAGCAGGTGAGGGGCAGAGGGAGAGGGAAAGAGAGAATCCCAAGCAGGCTTCGTGCTCAGTGTGGAGCCTGACCCGGGGTTCGATCCCACGAACCGTGAGATGTGACCTGAACCGAAATCAGGTCAGATGCTTAACCAACTGAATCACCCAGGCGCCCCTGGAGTTTGCTCTTTTTATAGAGAAACAAGTTGAGGGATATCAGTTTTCAATGGCTACGTGTTATGTTACATTGAATGCGTTCTACCATAATCTGCTATTTCTTTAACACTCTTTTTTTTTTTTTTAATATTAGCTCTGACCCAGCCTAGAGTAGTGGTTTCCAAAAGGGGTTGATTTTGCCGGGCCAGGAGGCATTTGGCAACGTCTGGAGACTTTTTTGGTCATCTTAAGTGGGTGGGAACCAGGGTGCTGCTGAACCCCTAGAGGGCACAGGACCGCAATGAAGAGTTCCATCGTGGTGACGTGGATGTAATGAGCCCACACGTCCACCCTGCTTTGTGCACCTGCACACGGGTCTCCTCTGCTGGCTGCTGGGGCGTGACGCGTCATCCACAGGGGTCGGTGTGGGGACCCCCCAAAGTGCCGTCTACGTTCAGTCCTCATCGGCTGTTGTTGTTGTTGTCATTTATATCATTACCCAGTGTAAGATATCTCCACGGATTGAATGTCACAATACATATTCTGAGGTCCGTACTTGAAAAACCTTTGTTAAAGTCCGTGCACCAATGGAATGTTGGAGATCACAGTTACACATGGAAACAGAAAGACCGGAGAGAGAAAGGCGACCCCTCTCTTCCTCCTACGTGAAGCTTCATCTCAGTTTCTACATTCTGTTGGAAATCCTACTTTTCCTCCAAGGTTTCTGTGATGCCTGACGTCACCCCGCAGATGGGTTTTGCCCCAGCCTCCCTCCCGGGGCTCCCGTCCTGGACTCACCACCGACCGCATCTATTGCTTTGGGCAAATTGTCTCCGCTTGCTACATGAGTATGAACCTGTTCTACGATCGGGGCTATTTTAAATGGCTGTTGCAAGGAAAGCACTTTACGTAGTGCCCTGAAAGGCAACGGTTAACGGAGGAAAAGCACTTTACAGAACGCCCCAGTGTACGGTCAATTCTCAGTAAATGGTTTTGTTTTTGCCTTGTTAAGGCGAGATCCTGCCTCCCACACGCAGAGACGTGGCCTCATCTTTGCCAGCGTCAGTGGAACCCTCTCTCGGCAAGGCTCTGACTCTGGACTGTGTGCCCGAGACCGCACCCCCAGTACTAGCAAGAAGGTAGAACAGTGGCCGAACGACGTTCACCGAGCAGGGACCGAGCGCCGCGCTGGGTGGTTTTGCAAGTAACAGCTCACTCACTTCCTACAGCAGCGGCGCCAGCCCAGGAGGAGGTACTGTTCTCCCATCTTGTGGATGAGGACACTGAGGCAACCTCTTCCTGGACATTTGTCCAATTTACGGAGCTGCAAGGCGTGGGCCGTGAGTCCAAGCCCGTGAGTCTTCAGCGATTCTAACCGCTACCCCCTCTGACGGTTACCCTGCCTCCAAACGTACAAGTAGATGACCTTTCTTTCCTCGGCTCAAAGAAAGAACAACTCTCCAGGGGCTGGTACCAGGAGGGACGCAGGCGATCAGCGAGCCAGACTGCTCGCGAGCCTGGGAGGGGAGTGAAGCCCGGGAACCAGCCACTTGCACACGTCCCTACAGCTAAGTGAGTATTAGCTTCACAGCTGCAACCTGGGTCTGTCTAGTGTCAATCCTGCACCCTCTGCCTCCGTCTCTCGCACCCCACAACGACACGACCCATCGTCTCCCGTGCATTATTAATTTCCTATGTGGTTACGTTGTTTCTTAATACCCATGTCTCCCCAGTCAACCGTAGCCTTTCCATATGGAGTTTCAGATCCTATAAATTAAATGAGAACAGCATGTTACACAGGAATGAAGGAATGGTTGTTGGATTTTTTTTTTTTTTTTGAGATTACAGTGACTTCGACCCGTAGGTATTTATGGAAAAACACTAGGATATTTACAAATGTGTTAACGCTGGAACTGTATTTTAATTGGTTTCATGAAAGAAAAGGACTTGGAAGCCCTGGGATTAATATAATTACTTTGCTAGAGACGATGAATTCTTGGCTGGCGTCTTCTGCAGGGGACCGGGTCTGTGAGCCCCTGCGAGGCTGGAGCCCTGGCGGAGAGAAGCCCGGGGCGGCAGAACCCTGGTGTGGCAGGGGGAGCATCTGAGAGAGACGCCAGGGCTCTGCGCTTGGGGACGAGACAGTTAAAGCCTCCCCGTGCGAGCCAGTTCTATCACACGGCGCTGGCGACAGGTCAACAGTCTGGCAGGAGCGCGGACGGGGCTGATGATGCCAGGCGGTGCCAGGGACCCCGGGGAGCCCTAAAGAGGCTCCCCACACCGGCTTTCCTTCTGCAGCCCGGGGGATGTTCCGGCAACTGCCTCATGCAAGGAAACTGGGGCTGTGTCGCTGCTTTCCGGGCGAGCCACGCTGGAGCACTGACGTCCCCGGGCCGAGAGCCCACTGTGGCTGTGACAAAGGGACCCCGGCTGAGAGCCTGCGCAGGTGAGATGAGCCGGGCAGCTGCTGGCGGGGCTCCTGTCTCGGCCGTGGGCTTGGGGGAAGCGGGTGTGCGGGGTGAGATGACGCTCTCAGACAGACAGATCGCTGCATGCCTTTGCCATTACTCTCATTGCTTTGTAAGAAGCACGAGCGGGCTGATCCCGCACTTCGTTCGTTCGGAGAGCCACCTGGAAATTCAGAGGGACGCGGTCCCAGAGCGTCTAGCCGCCGGGGAATTCTAGCTGGGGCGCTCCTGTGACAGCCACGGAGCAGTCTCACTGGCAAGCCCCCGGAGACTTCTCGAAGCCCCTCAGATCCACACCGGGCTCGCTGGTGAGCAGGGAGTGTGCTGGGGTGCCCAGGGAGCGGGGTTCTAATCCACATCCCTTCCTGTAGGGAGCAGGGAGTGGCGTGGCGGGGGGGGGGGGGGGAGAACACCACACAACCTCTCGGGGTCGCCACTCTCCGAAAAAGACCGTTAAATATCTGCCGCCACAGGTTTGGGCTCCTTGTGCCCCATTTGCCTGTGTTTGCTGAGCCCTCGGTGCCGGGACTGGTGCTCTGCACGCCTGCAAACCGTCCATGGACCGGCCGGGCTTTAGGACGGAAACAATGACAGCAAAAGATGGGTCCAAACTTGGAAAAGCCGCAAAGTCTCCCTGATGACCTCAGGGGAGCTCTTAGCCTTTCAGAGCATTTTTAAAAGAGCAGAGCAGAATTTTGTGTGCCGCTGGGTACATCGGTTAAGGTCCGAACGCTGGGAGGTTAATGCGGGCGCTGTGGTAGGCGCCGTGGCCCCCGTGGGCCTGATGAGTGTCGGGTTAAGTGCATCCCGGATGATAGGTCTGAGGCACAGACAGTAGACGGGAGTGAGCTCCGGGCTTTGGGATGAAGGCATTCTGGAAACAGCCTGGCCCAGTGGCTCACGGTGGCTGGATGGGTGTGAGACCGGGATCCATACCCAGCTGGGGGTCAACCTCCAAGATGACCGATCCATTGGGTAGGCTCTGGCCTTAGGACGTGCTCACGATGAAGGAAATATCCTGATGCCAATAGCCACAAGGCGACTGCTAGTTTTCTGATAAAGTCCCTCCGCTCTGTGTTCACAGATAGGTTCAGGATTCTTTCAGTGACCCTCTAGGCTGATTCCAGCCTCCTGGGCTCTGTTCTGTTGCACTCGTGTGCGTGCCCTCCGGGCCTCGTGTCCACAGACTTGCCAGCTTCACGCTTCCCACAGCACAGGCTCGTTGCTTCTGTTTTTCTCCTGGTTCTCTGATGTTATCTGTACTCTGTGTGGGCTCTGTGTGGGTCCAGCTCTGTGTGGGCTGGACCCGCAGCCTGTAACACCCCCTCCAGCAAAATGTGTGACTTCTATTCATTGTTAAGACTCACTGTGGTTTCTTCCAAAAGGCATCCTTTTAGGTTCTTTTAGGGGTATCTCTTCTTACACGGAAAGCTGCCTGTATTATTTCTATTACAGAACCTTGTATTATAATTACCTGCACCCCCGCTAATCTGATACTGGACGGCAGGAGCTATGGCTTTGGCACCTGCTATACTCAGAATCTGGGACACCGTAGGGAGAGTCTTGTCCAACTGCAGGCAGAAAGGGAGTGTCTGTCTTCTGGAGAAGGCTCCAGAAGCTTCCGAGAGGTTTGTGGTCCTCCACGGCACTGGGAACCTGCAGAGAACCACAGTAAAACCTGGGGACCAAGGCAGGAAACCAGGGCTCGGACACCAGGAGTCAGGGGGCTCAGCTCCAAAGGCCGAGTGCAACAGGTGTGGGCAGAGAGGTTCAGCCCGGTTGACGACACCGAGAGCCTCCTTCCAGGCCCCACGACTGCCAGCTTGGTCTGTCCCCGACTGCAGAGGGTGGAGGCCAAAGAACTGAGCTAAAGATCGAAGCTGAGACTGAGCCGTATGGTGGCCAGTGGCAGTCATGCACTCCACGGAAATAAATCACATTTCTTCAAGTAGTCATTACAACCTTGCTTTGCTCTCACATGACAGTGCCTTGTAACCAGCCTATATGGCTCTCACTTTGCCCCCGTCCCTCGCATGGACAGCGAGGAGACTGTCCCTGAGGGACCGGGGTACGCATACAGCTCTGCTCGTGAGCAAAGGCACCCGAGGGGACACAGCTGTCCCACGGCTCCGTTTGGATGCACTTCACTTCCCTGTCTCTGGGCAGAGCCCGCAGGAAAGACAAAGTTAGAACGCGGGATCACAAGCTGCGCCTGAGTCAGAACGTCGGCCCTGTGGCACACACATCTCAGACTGGTTTAGACAAGACCGGACATTTGTCGGGTCGGGAGACCGAAAGGATCCAAGTGTGGATTTGCTTCGGTGCCAGCTGGATACGGGGGTTCAATGACGTCAACAGAAATTGGTGGGTGTTTACGTTTTGTTTTAATTATTCTCTGTTTCTCAAGTCTGCTTTATTCCGGGTTGATTTCATTCACAAAGAAACATTCCCCCGGCGGGGCCCAGATGATACCTCCAACAGTTCCAATGCGGAAGTAAAAGGCCTCCTTCCCCAGAGACCAAGCAGAATCCCAGCGGCCTGTTTTTGGCCCCGTTGGCTCTCCAGGCCATTGCTAAGTGCGGCTAGGGTGCAGGGAATGTGGGCTTTGAGGCCCCCCCACCCCTGCCGGGCTGAGAATCACTCCCAGACCATCCACCACTGACTCCAAGCTCACTGTCGAGCTGTGGGGCAAGAAGGGAGCTTAGCAGTCACCTGGTTAGCTTCTCCCAACTCAGTGTCTCAGCAGGGAAGGGGCTGTGAAAACACCATACACTTAACGATGGCAACTTTGAGAACGAAGAAGAAGATGAACATAAAAACCATGTGTTGTCCCCCACCAGTGTAGACATAAGACCTCTAATCATTCACTCTTTCCCCATTTACAAAGTTTTCTATGTAATTTGGGGGCGCTGGTGCGGCTCAGTCAGTAAGTGTCCAACTCTCGACTTCAGCTTCCGTTGTGACCTCACAGTCATGGGATTGGGATCGAGACCCTTGTCAGGCTCTGCACTGACCGCTGGGAGCCCGCTTGGGATTCTCTCTCTCTCTCTCTCTCTCTCCCTCTCTCTCTCTGCCCCTCCCGTGTGCTCTCTCTGGCTCTCAAAATAAATAAACAAACTTTAAAAAATAATGAAAAAATGTTTTTTACATAATTTGACACCGATTTATAGTTTAAAGTCTTGACTTTTACCGTAATCATTTGCTTTTGTCACTCAAAAATGTTTAAAAATATACTTTAGCGACAACATGACCTTCCCAGACATGAACATTCACCTTCATCTAAACTTCTTTTTTGGCCTGGAATCAATCCCTTCCTTTTATGGGTGAGGAAATTGAGATTGGGAGAAGGAAGCAATTTTCCTAGATTTGTAGCCACTGGGTCCTTGGATCCGGGTTCTTAGTGTATCATTTGCCTCCCGTCTTTTGCCCCCATATCTGCAAGGATGATAAAGGGTTTATTTATTTACTTATTATTTTTTTTTTTTATTTCTGGGGGGACTTCAAGAACTGAAGGACAAAGAGACACATCTTAGCAGAATAAGGTTCTCCTTCTATCTGTGGAGACTGCCTGAGCCGTAAGAAAGCCCGTCAGGGGCCTGACTGGGAATGACAGGTAGAAGGTCGTAACTAATGGGGGCAGTGAAGCTACAGTCTCCCAACCTGTGTAAAGGTGGAGGCTATTGTGCAAACACACGTTCTTTCTAGGGCGGTGCGTGGGCGGGGAAAGTTCTAGATCTTGCTCCTGCCTCCATATTTTCATTCACTGAACAAATGTTTATTGTGCACCTGCTCCGTGTCAGGCACTGTTCCGAGTGTTGAGAAGAAGCCTGAAAAAATACGGGCTGTGCTCTCGGGGAGCTCACGTGCTATGCAGGGGAGGTGGGACACAATGTTAGACAAAGAAACAAAGGAAAATAAAAAGGATCAGATGGTGATGAATAGTAAGCAGGGAATTAAAACGGAGAGCTCTGATAGAGGCTGGGGAGTTGATTTTGGACTAAGCTGTCAGGAGAGGCCACTTAGGATGTGAGCATCGGCTGGGGAGGGGGGAGAGTTAGTGCCAATGTCCCGGGACGGCCCATGAGGGGCCTGATTGAGGGGCAGAAGGAAGACCAGCCAGCGTGACCGAAGCGGGGGGCGGGGGGACTCTGTGGATCGGCCGGTGCTCAGAGACAGGCAAGGCCAAGTGAGAGTGTGGTTTTGATTACAGTAAGGGGCTGCTGGGGAGTTTGGTGGCTGGATAGCACCGTGACGATCTGGTCCATGTTTGCAAGACCACACTGGCTTCTCCTGGAGAAAGGATGTGGGGGGTCAGGGATGGAAGCAGGGATACATCCTGCTGGCAGGCGGGAAGAGGTCGCGCCCTGAATGGCGGGGACACGTGGCTGGGACGGACGTGTTTCGCAGCCCACGGGAGCAAACCCTGGATGCGGAGCGGTGGGGTGTTTAGGGAAAGAGGACGATCAAAGACCCTCCCTGGTCTCGCTCACAACAACCCGACACCTATGGGTCGCCCCACCGCTTTTCTGCTTAATTGGCAAGAGGTGGACGGGTGGCAGACGATGTTCAGATTCAGACAAGCCCGCGGCTCGGACGGGGCAGGGGCCCAGGCGCTGAGGGGCGGAGCCCGGCACCACTCCATCCCTGGTGCCCAGTGCCACCACCATCCCGCGGCATTTGCGTGCGACCGACAGGGAATCTGCTGCCGGAACAATCCGAGAGCCGTTGCCCTCAAGAGCTGAGCGGACACCGTCCTGTCCGGGCGAGCCTCCTGCTCTGCGTGTCCCGGGTGCCAGCCCTCAGGGACGCCCCTGCCCTTGTGGCCCACGTCCCCCGCCCCCCTCCAGTTGGCCACAAGATGACCTGGAAAGGAGCAGTTAGCTGCACGGGGGGCGCTCCGGAGAGGAAGGGTCAGGGGCAACTCGTCACCAAAGCTCCCACATGGCTTGAGTCGTCCTAAGTCACGGTCAGCAAACCT